GAGGTAAGACTGACTGGCCTATAGTTCCCTGGATCGTCCTTCTTCCCTTTTTTGAAGATGGGCACTACATTTGCCTTTTTCCAGTCATCTGGGATTTCTCCCAATCTCCACGACTTTTCAAAGATAATAGCCAAAGGCTCCACAATGACGTTTGCCAACTCCCTCATTACCCTCGGATGCACTAAGTCCGGACCCATGGATTTATGTACGTTTAGCTTTTCTAAATAGTTCCTAACCTGTTCTTTACCCACCATGGGCTGTCCATCTTCATCCCATCTTGCGTCACTTGACACAGAAGTCCAGGAGCCGACCTTGTCCATGAATACAGAGGCAAAGAAAGCATTGAGTACTTCAGCTTTCCCCACATCATCTGTCACTAGGTTACCTCCTTCATCCATTAGGGACTGCACACCCTCTCTGATCACCTTCTTCTTGTTAACATGCCTGTAGAAACCTTTCTTGTTATCCTTCACATCCTTAGCCAGTTGCAATTCCATTTGTGCTTTCGCCTTCCTGATGACCCCCCGGCATTCTCGAGCTATATCTTTAAACTCCTCCCTGGTCATTTGTCCAAGTTTCCACTCTTTGTAAGCTTCCTTTTTGTGCTTAAGTTCACCAAGGATTTCCCCTGTAAGCCAGTCCGGCCTCCTACCATGTTTGCCTCTCTTGCTACGTGTCGGGATGGTTTCTTCAGAGGAGCAGGATCAACCCGTCAAAGCACAGGGTGGGTGCACACAAAGAAAGAATTAAGGTTGTATGGGAAGTATAAATTTGGTATCTACCTATGTTGTAAGTCGGGGTGGGTAAATGCTGGCCCGAAGGCTGGATCTGGTCCACCAGAGTTAGCCGCTGGTGGCCCCCCCCAACTCTATATTTACCTGTGCTTCTGCAGATACAGGTGTTTGCAGTTCCCATTGGCTGTGGATCGCTGTTCCCAACCAGTGGAATCTGCGGGAAGTAGTGTCCCAGGCTACGCCACTTCTCAACACTCCCATTGGCTGGGAAGGACACTCCACAGCCAATGGGAGCTGCAATTTCCCATACCTGCGGAGGTGCAGGTAAATATAGCATTAGCGGCCCATCAAGGGCTAACTGTAGTGAACCACCACCATTTGATTGGCCACACCTGTTCTAAATGCATGACCTCACAATTTAAATAACCACCACTTAACATGTAAGTGTTTGGGGGAAGGGGGTGCTATGCAAAAGGCATATCTTTTTCGCCATGCACCGTTTATTTTATTATATTCATGAACTACATTATTTTCAATAAAGATTATTTGATTCTTTATACCTAGTTACTATAAAGAATTCTGGGTCCATTCCTCTATGGGCATCTGAAACCTAGATTTAATATTGAACAGGTATTTGAAATTCTCTTGTAAAGTGTCTGTGACAGTTTGAAATGGACTCCTCCCTCCCCTTCAGAAATGATGGGAGGTTTGATTTGTAAAATAGACTGTGTCTGAGTAAATGAGTGAAAACTGCTGGAGATGCTCATACTGTACAACATCTGCAAATCACAAGATGCGTTCATCATCTTTCACGAGTTTAGATCATAATCACAGGCCCTTTATTTAAGTTTCCATGGTGATTCTGAACATTATTCCCCCCTCTTCTAATCAGAGCATTTGTAAATCTGAACATTGAGGTTTTTTTTCTTTCCCATGAGTAAACCTGGTTGTATCGATATAGAGATATTAGCATGGCAATCTATGGTGCTGTCGCCCGCCAGGATAGAGAATCATCAGCCGTCATATCAGCCATTTGCTATAGAGCCTCTAATTCTAGCATTTAAATAGCTACATTGTAAAACATACATGCTAAGAAATAGAAGCTCCCATCATAGCAAAGGATGCACTTTGACTTCTGCTTTACAAATCCCCATAGCTTAAGTGTGTGGTCGTAGGGTCCATGCAGCATTATATTTAGAATCCTTTAGGGGTGGTGCCCCCTGCTCGCTATGCTCACCAACCCGCCCCCGTCTGTAGAGATAGGCAGGCCCGTCTCTCCCCCTGGCTGAGCCTCTGCCCTCCGCCTGCCCACAGACAGCCCCACCCAGCCTCTGCCCCCTCCCTCCCGGGACGCCGGGGCCACAACACCCCAGCTCTCTCCCTCTGGCTTCTGGGAGGGGACAGGAGAGGACCCACCCCCCGACCAACAGGGAGGGCTGGGCTGCAGCCCAGACCTCTTCTCCCTCCCCCAACTGCCCCAGCCCAGGCCCCCTTTTCCTCCCTCCTGACTACACCAACCCAGGCCCTTTCTCTCCTCCCCACCCTTCCGTGGCCTAACCTTACTTCCCCTCCCAGCCAAGGCCACATGAGTCCACGCTCTGCCCCCCGCCACTGAGGAGGGAAGGGAGCTGGTCTGAGGCCTCCTGGGCCCTACACTCTTCTCCCAGATGCCAAGAACAGGAGGAGGGTGGCGTGGCGTGGCATGGCGTGGCAGCCAGCACTGGGGAAAGGGAAGGGAGCGGCTATGGGATACCAGAGAGACATGATGTCGTCACTCTGTCATCCTGCAGGAAAAAAATTGTATAGGTATAGTGAGACTCCCAGATTCTTTTCAGTGGTACTACCAATGTCAGTTATTATTTCCGAAGTATGGTACTTTACACTGTCTTTATTGAATTTTATCTTGTTGACTTCAGACCAATTTGCTAATTGTTAAGGTCGTTTTGAATTTTAATCTTTCCCTGCAGAGTGCTTGCAATCCCTCCCAGTTTGGTGTCATCTGCACATTTCATGAGCATATTCTTGACGCCATTTTCCAATTCGTTAATGAAAATACTGATGAAACCCCTTTCCTGCTTTGTCATCTCCCAGTTAGTTTCTCAACTTCAAATGCATAAGTCTGAATGAAGTAAACAGTCTCTCAGCACCTGCTAGCTAAACTGAAAACAAAAGTAATTAAGGCAAAAGCTTTTCTGTGTAACAGAAACTGTCAGTACTGACTTTTGGAAAAGCTGTAACTACGGATATTCATTTAATGCACCATAAGACATTGTGAGAAATGTATAACGCTTGAGTTGAACACAGTCATTAGATGTCCTGTCCATGCCCAATTCTGTAAACAAATAAAAATAAAAATCCTGTCAACTCATTAAAATTTCAAGAGGAATTGTAGAGGCAGCATTGATAAACCAAGTGCCATTTACAAAACAACTGTTAAACAATTAAAATAGTGTATTTTCTTAAAGTAGGGAACATTTATTTTCCCCCACAGTAGTGAGACTTTTCCCGAGGCACAGGCAAATACTATTTACCCACTAGGAGACCAATTTCTGAGAGCAACACTGGCCTTATTACCAATATTACTCAAAAGCCAGACAACAGAGGCAAATCTGACAACACAACCTCGATGTAATGAGATTCAGTTTCTGATTGTTGGTGGTGACAAACTCCACTGCCACTTAGATCTCCCTTCTCCTGGTTCCCCATGAATTCCGCCCTCAAGATCGATGGCAGCCCTACGACAACTATCATTCCAGGAGGTAGGTTTGAGAAGCAGTTCTAATTTGTACTGGAGATATTTAATGGAGTCTGGATGTGTGGAAGTATAGTCCGTCTCCCTAGTTTTAGCCATGTGGCTAGATATGAGTGGGATATGGAAGAATCTATTTCTCTCAAAAATCAGCCAACGACATGGAAAAATGGCCCCACCTTCTTGCACTTGTATGCACTGTCCATTTGTTCAGCGGCTTGGATTTGTCGTGGGGATTATTGAAACAAGTCTTGGCAGCCACTATTGTGTTCTTTATCCTCAAGAGTAAGTAACAAAATAGTAACACGCTTGACAGCTGGTGTGTTCATATGCACACACACAAACACACACACACACTCCAGCTGTCCATTACACCCACAACTCCCTTTGCCCTGCAAGTTCACAAATGAAAACTGCCTCCTATGCTGTCTCCCTTGGTACAGATGGTTGGGGAATCTGCAATGTGGCACTATATTTTCATCTCCATTTTCATTTGAAAAAGCAGGCCAAATATGGGACATCAGATCCCTTCCCTCCTCCTTCCCTCCCACAAAGGATATTCACACACTAATGAGAACACAGTGATCCCATATTCAAAGCCAGCATTGTCAGTAGGAGGGGGAAGGGCAGCTGCAGCACAATGTTCAGATGTGTATCTTCATCTTTAAAGGTTAGAATTTACATTGTTCTCAAAAGGTTCCTCTTCTGACTCCGACATGCAGACTTGGTGATGCCTGTTAGACAGATGCTATAATTTTGTGTCCTTGGTGTACCTAAGACTAGGTTAACCCTCTGTTTTCTTTCTTTTGCATTCAGTAGTCCTTATTTCAGAGGGGAGGTTTATTGACATACTGAGAAGGTTTCAGAGTCCTGTGCTTACTACTTTGACTGCACATACTAATGGTTACACATAAATCATGGTTTTCCTGTTTTAGATTTTGTGGATGGGAGGAACAATCACGTTTTTAAAAAGCTGAGGGAGCTGTAGAGTGGGAAGCCCAGAGTAACAATGTGTGATTCCTGCCAATGTAATGAGGCACCAGAAAGATTTCAAAAAGTCTGAGTGAACATGCCTGCCTCCTCCCCTCCCCCATGATAGTTATGTCGTATTGCTCTTCTTTTCCTCACTCTTCCTCGCATAAATATCTGAACTGAAAATGTACCATGTTTTCCTGCATCTGTCCTGTGAAATTATCAAAAGCCCATGTGTGTTTTTCTCCCAGTGAACAGTTATGGGGAGGATGAAGAGCTAACCACATCTTCAGATAGCGACGACGAGGTGATTAAACAGTTTGCCATCTCTGTGTCACGCTCGCAGAGTTTTCGCTCAGGGGTGTCTGAAAAGGCAACACAAGCAGGTTCAGAGCGTAGACCTAAATTCAACCACTTGCTGTCCAACCACGAGGAGGACAGTACCGAGACATCTGAATGCGAAGGTATTGTCCGTCTCAAATGAGAACTTGCTTTGAATCCACAGCCACCTAACATGGAGGGATTCCTTTTATTTGGGGGAAGGAAGGAGCAGCCTTGGTTCTGGTCTGCTCAGGATAAAATCTGTCTAGCACTTTCTTCTAAAATACTTAGAACTGGGTCCAAAGTCACTGAAGTTAATGGGATCTTTCCAGTAACTTCTCATGGGTTTTTGATTAGGCAACATTTCCATGACTATTAGTAGGAGTTTTGTCTGAGTAAGTACTGCAGGACTTGGCCTGATGAAATCTGTTGAACTGCATTTCTTACCATTATAGTGTGTTTTAGCAAGCCTTTGAACAGAAGTTCCATGTTTTTTCTTTAATAGCACCTTGGCAAATACCAGGCAAATAGTGAATGAATTCTGTTGCTTCATTCATCAGCACGTACACTACAGGTCAGGCAATGACAGAAGGCAAGAATGTATAATGCCAAAGAGAACAGTTTTTGACCTGATATTGTCTGTTTTTGTTAGTGGCTTTTGTCTGTTCCAAACTAACATGCCTGGTTCTCAGAAATTTTCCCAAGTGCAAAATTGATCTGGAAAGTAATATCCTATAATACGGGACATGTCTGGGAGAACCTTTCATGGGAAAGATTCAGGAAACTGCTTTGTGAATTATTAGGATCTGGAATGCTATTTTAATCATTATAAATGTTAAAAAAAAAAAACAAAAAAAAACTTGTCAGGGCCCAGCCCCACTTTCACTCAAAACATTGAGAGTTCTGCTGTCTACTTTAATGGGAGCAGGATTGGGCCCTTTATTCCAAATAACACTTCTTTATTTATGGTTTAGATATGCTCAGACCCTTGCCAACTATTGCTAGCCTGACTGCATGATGGAGGATTCCTTGAGCCTGGGGGATCTATGGCTGGAGTGGAGTAGATGCAGATCTATGCCACCCAAAACCCTAACTCCTGAAGGGGAAGGGGGCGTGGTTGTAGTCCCTACATTCTGGTACTTCCCATTTGATTGAAATGGCCTCTTATGGCAAAGGGTGGTAGGTGTAAAGTAGAGAGACCCTGAAGCTGCTGTTGCTTGTTCCGGTTTGGCCCCGGCCAGAGAAGTGTACAGCTGGTGGAAAGTCACCTTTGCCCCTCTCCATCTTAAGCTGCACAGCATTTATCACATCAGCATCCCCTGATCAGATCCTCAGAAACCTTCCAGGCAGTTATGCCTTGAGTTATCTATCAGATCTGCTGAGGAACTGTGTGATCTCCTATTGGGGCAATAAGGAACCCAGGAATGTGTCTTCTTAAATACTCGGTTACCTTCGTTCCTTTTGTCCCCTCTCTCTCTCTCTCTCTCTCTCTCTCTCTCTCTCTCTCTCTCTCTCCCCCTTCGGGATGGAGATAGTTATGTGGGGTTTATCTTTCCCATCTCCCTAGATGCAGTTTACCTAAGTCCTGCTCCTCCAGCCTAGCCATGCAGCAAAAGGAGCTGCTGTCTATTTGCAGTGGTCCCAGAATGCCTGGTGTATTCTGTCCACGCTCCCTTCTTCCTGGCCTGCCTCCTCTGCAGAGCAGCAGCCTCATGAGAGCTTAGCACAGTGAAAGGCAGCCAAGGCCAGTGAGCAGGCCTCATGAGTGGCCCTCCTTCATCTCAGTGGGCCGCACGGTTGAAATTGGGCATGTGCCCCAACCATGGCTTAGCATCTGTTTCTCATCTTTAACAAGGCCGGCTTGGTATTTAATCTATGACACTGGAAGAGAAACCTGCACTTCCTGTTCCTCCCTCCCCTGGAAAAGGACATCCATGTGGCAGGGAGTGTAGCCATTTCAGTAACCAAAAGTGCAGTGCCTGGCCCTGAAGAGCTCCACACCTCCTGCGTCGGGCGCCACACAGTGAATTCCTCTGAGGGACACTGAGTTCCTGGAAGAGATACCTGCCTGTCCCGAGGGGCTGATGGGAGGCGCCTGAAGCTTTCAGGATTGGTCTCTACCTTATTTTCTAGTGTGTTTTCCCAGCAGAGTTTTAAATGTCTCAGTAGCAGATTTTAACAAGCACCCCTTCCTGGCTACTCATTAGGACAGCTGTGAGAGGGTTCCATGCCTTGTGGGCTTGAACCCCTGCGGTGCATCAAGTTTCAAGAGCCTCAGCAGGCAGCAGCACTGGTTCCTCTCTGGACACTGACTGCCATTTTCCCCACCTCAGAAATGGGGCTACTCAGCTCACTTGCCGTAGGCCCCCCAAGATGACCCAGTGACTTACACACACGCTCTCCCAGTCCACCACCCCAAAGGAGCAAAGCTTCTGGTTTGCCCTTAAACTCATCCAGGAGTACACAGCACTTGTGACGCAACCAATGCACATGGGCCCACACTTTTTGCCCCATCTCACACCTTTATGCTCTTTTGGACTTAATCATATAAGACAATGAAGCAGGGGTGGGCAATGATTTTTAAAAGGGGGGCCATTTCATAAATTTCTGAAGTGGTCCTGGGCTGCTCCAGAAGGGGTGGGGCCAGGAGACTTCTCGTATTTCCCCCCATCACAGACCCTGACTGGCCTGGGAGTGGGGGAGTGCGTGAAGTGCACCCCCACATCTGGTGCCTAAAGAGACTTGCCAGCTGTTTTAAAACAGCTGGTGGTTACCTCTAGATGCCGCAGCAGGAGGAGAATTTACATGCTCCCCCTACCTTGAGCCAATCATGGCTTGGAGGCGGGGGAGCGTGCAAAGTGTCTCACCCCTGCCCTCACCCTGGGTGCACGGTGTCTAGAGTGAACTGCTGGTTGCTTTAAAACAGCTGGTGGTTCCTTCTGGTGCTGCACACCCCTGGTGGGGTAGGGAGACTTGGCTAGCTTCCCGTCCCCAAGATTGACCTGGGAGTGGGAGGGCGGCTGTGGGCCGGATCCACCAGCGTGGTGTGCTGGATCCGGCCCGCAGAGGCTGTCTTGTCCACCCCTGCACTGAAGAATACAGATCTACCACCACTCAAAACAGTCTGTATTGGAAACTGCAATGCCCCTCACTTTTCCTTTTGGGTATGTCTACACAGCAGCGTTATTTTGGAATAACTATGCGTGTGTCTACACAGCTAGCCCATTAGTTGGAAATAATTTTGAAATAAAGGGTGGCTTATTTTACTGTTTACAAACCTCATTCTCCGAGAAATAACGCCTCTTCCAAAATAGCTATTTCGGAATAGCAATAGTGTGGATGCTTCACTGCTGCTATTTTGAAATAGCTCCTCCCCAGGGCCATTCAAAGTAATTACTCTCCATGCTTCCTGGGGCTCTAAATCAAGGTAGGGTGTCCACATTAGGGGAGCGTGCCTCGGACTAATTTCCAGGCTTCCCTGTAGTGTAAACGCACTATTTCGAAATAAGCTGTTTCAGAGTATTTCTTCCAAAATAGCTTATTCCGAAATAATCGTGCAATGTAGATGTAGCCTGTGAGTCCTGGGGAAGCTCTCTGGTCCAGGCAGACTGTGTTCCCTGTCTCATGCAGGCTGTTACATGGCAACTGGTCTCTCCCTTATGGACTGAATAAAATGGGCACCAAGAAGATCAGCTGCTGCCCTTTTAAAGCTTTCAGCCCCTCCTGTACTCCCATTTCTGGTGAACCCCTTACCTCCTTTACACAAGCACAAATCTGTTAAGTGACTTTGTTGCCAAGGTGACTTCTTCCCTGATAAACCAGTTCTTCTGGACAGGGACCAGTCTTGTATCTAGAGTGAGCAGATGCCCAACAATTGGGAGTACAGGCAGTCCCCGGGTTACATGGATCCGACTTACATCGGATCCCTACTTACAAACGGGGTGAGGCAACCCCGCACTAGCTGCTTTTCCCCAAGCTAGCGCCTCCCCCAGCAGACCAGGGAGATGCGGAGCGGCTTTTCTCAGCAGACACCTCAGCTTGAAAATAAAGGACTGAGGGAAGTGAGGTGGGAGAATAAAACTGAGCTCTGGAGAAATGTTTGGCTAGAGTTTCCCCTACAATATGTACCAGTTCCGACTTACATACAAATTCAACTTAAGAACAAACCTACAGTCCCTATCTTGTACGTAACCCGGGGACTGCCTGTATAGTATTGCCTTCTAGCTAGCTATCTACATTTCAGTTTCCTTCTCCTGCCCTTCGTTGGCCCCCGGCCTTTGGAATTTTCAATTCAGTATGGAAATAAGCAGACCAGAGAGAAGGCAAAAGACCACACATTCAAAACGGAGCTTGCAGCCTGTCACAGACGTGTAGGGTTCACAATTGAACACAGAATTCATAAATTGTACCGTTATATTCCCAGTTCATGAAAGTTTCAAATGCTGGAGCCTCCATCATTAACCTGCACTGTATTGTGCCAAGATGTAAATCAGAAAAAAGAAGGAACATTTATATAAATTCATAGATTTTTAAGGCCAGAAGAGACCATTGTGTTCATCTAGTCTGGCAATTAAATGACACAGGCCTGAGAATTTCCCCCAGTGATGATTCCACCCAGCCCAGCAAGCTGTGGTTACATTGCGCCATGTCTTTTAGAAAGCATCCAGTCTTAAAGATGCCAATCGATGGAGAATTTCCCCTCATCCCTTGATAATCAGTTCCATTGTCGGATAAGCACCAGTGTTTCCCTTGCCATTAGTTATGGTGTGATGAGAGTAGTTGCTACAGACTCACAGGTCGTTCCTGTACTTGGCCCATACAGTCCCCCGGGGGAACCCTCTTCAGTGTGACAGCTCTGTCTTGGGGGTCCACTCTTTCTTGGGGTTTAAGTCCCTCCCCCTCCTGGCACTGCACCTCTCAGAGCCTGTAGCTCACCTGCCTTTTGCCATGACAGGGATTCCACTTGCTCTGGACCCCACTCCCAGAGGGAATCATGCAACTCTGTTCTCTAGAATGGAGCAGCTCTCAGCCATCAGAAAACAGGAGGGTTTACTGAGCATATGAACACAGCACAGGAATGCTCAAGACCTCCCTCAGCATGGCATATCTGAGTCTTCCCTGCATCCACTTGGACTGCCCCTGC